ACTTTGATTATGTCACATGCATGAAAACAGGACAATAAATATAAACATATTATTTGGACCACTGCCATTTTCATTTAGGTATTGTTTTTTTCAGCCTATTTATGAAGTGATTAAAAGTTCTTATTGTAAATTTGACCTCAACTTAATTTTTCGACACACAGCACATCCACAAAAAACACAGAAATTCAAACACCTACAAACAGACAAACGCACAGACAAACAAACAAAAGCAAGAGTGGCATTACTTTTAACCCAACGACACGACGCAGCGAATTAATTAACTCGAACGAATGCAACGTAACAATAATTTCACCTTTTCCATTTCGTACGGAAAAACGGACCAATATCTTTTATCGCGAGCCGCCCGGCCGAGAGCTGCCGGTGTTTCCAAAGCCTAGTGTGCAATGTTGATTTATTTTTCTATTAAATGCAATTGCAAGAGACAGCTCAGAACGCCTGAGCTTCAAGACCGCGTGCTGCAATCATAGGAAGCTGGATTTTTAATTGGGGAAATATTGTTGAGAGATGGATAAGAGCTGGGATGTATATAAATATATATATATATATATATATATATATATATATATATATATATACTATATATATATATATATATGTGTGTGTGTGTGTGTGTGTGTGTGTGTGTGTGTGTGTGTGTGTGTGTGTGTGTGTGTATGATTATCATTATTATTGTTGTTATTATATTATTGTTATCATCGTCATCATCATCACCATTATTATCATTTTTGTTAGTATCAGTAGCAGTGCCAATAGTATTAGTAATAATACCTAAGGTAATAGTAATAGCAATAGTGCCCTAATTGCAATAGTAATAATTTTATCAACAGGGATAGTTTGCGTTTAAGCTTCCAATATTTATTTGTGTTGTTTTAAATGCAGTTTCCTCTTTACAAAATCAATTATACTTCCTGGAAAGCGAATCTCATTGATTGCAATTTGATTGATTGCAATCACTGCAACGGATTTCATCAGTGATTGCCGGATAAAAAAGTATAATATTTGGCAAAAAGAGAGAAAAAAAACTTTTTTTTTCTCGTTGTCTGTATTACTGACATTAATTAAGAGCTTGCAACGGGGGTCCTCGGTTGCAACAGAATATTATCGTTGTGGAGAGGAAGTACTGTTTTTAGTCACCATTTCTGCTTTCGAACTGTTATTGTTATTATTATTTAGAGAATGGTCGGTGTTTGCGTTGGGTTATATCTTTCCTTTCTCTCTCTATATATTTATCCATCTGTATATCTATCTATTCCTCTCTCTCTTTGTTTGTCACTCCCTCCCTCCCTCCCTCCCTCTCTCCTTCTCTTTCTGTGTGCGTGTGTGTGTGTATATGTGTATGTGTGTGTGTGTGCGTGTGTGTGTGTGTGTGTGTGTGTGTGTGTGTGTGTGTGTGTGTGTGTGTGTGTGTGTGTGTGTGTGTGTGTGTGTGTGTGTGTGTGTGTGTGTGTGTGTGTGTGTGTGAAATTCATGTCGAACAAAATTGCAAACAGAACAACGAAAACACACGAATATGCCGAAGGACTTTTCGCATTTACTGCTTCATCAGGGCGTCTGTGTGTGTGCATGTGCGAGTGCGTGTGTATGTACGTATGTACGTATGTATGTATGTATGTATGTATGTATGTATGTATGAATGTATGTATGTATGTATGTTGTACCGGAAGTTAGAACGTGTTGCTTTCAGAGGCAAGCGAGTATTATAATGCGTCACTCGATTAAAAGGAAATGAAAAAAAACAACTATTTTTAAAATGTTGTAATATGAATCGGAAGTCCAGCTGATGTGAACGTACAATCGAGGAAAAGAACGAAACCATTGCAGCTGGATTTAATCGGCATTTTGAGATACCATTTCAACAAATGCATCGGAAACGATTGATTACATTCACTCACTGATAGATATATTCATGCACACATGTACGCACGCACACACACATACACACACACGCACACACACACACACACACACACACACACACACACACACACACACACACACACACACACACACACACACACACACACACACACACACACACACACACACACGCACACACGTGCACAAACACATAAACACACATACACACACACACACACACACACACGCACACACGCGCACAAACACACATACACACACACACACACACACACACACACACACACACACACGAACAAACGCATACGCACGCA